TCTCCTCAACACATTTATTCGCAATTAGGATTTGTTCTGTTATTTATCGCCCATGAATGAAAGCCCCTTGGGCTTGGCTAATAATGGAGGGGAGAATTTATTTACTCCTAAAAAAAACACTTTAGCCAGGTTTTTGTAAACACTTGTCACCAAACTAATCGGCTTGAAATCTTTAGGGTGGCTAGYATCGGTTTTCTTAGGACTAAGAGCTAAGAAAGTGGCATTAATTCCAGGGCTTACTATGTGGTTATCTACAAATTCCTTAAAAACATCACACAAGTCATCTTTCAGCACCTCCCAACAGTCTTGGTAGAAAGCCATTGTAAAACCATCCGGGCTTGGGGCCTTAGATCTTTCCATTAGAAAGACTATTTTCTTTATCTCTTCTTCCTCAATACTCCTTTCTTGCCACCTTACCTTTTCTTTTCATCCAGCCTTGGCCATTCCAATACTTCCACTACTACTATTTCATTCAAAGGCCTTGTAAAAAGTGATTTGAAGTGATTCACAAAGATCTTGGCTATGTCAACCTGGTTGGTTATCACCTCCTCATCTAGCTCTAACTTAGTCACAAAATTCTTCCTCCTTCCATTTGCTAAGTCATGAAAAAAATGGTATTCCCGTCACCCTCCTTAATCCACCTATGCCTAGACTTTTGCCTCCAGTTGATCTCCTTTCTCAAAAGCACCTCTTCAAGATCCCCTTTTAGTAGTCTTCACATTTCTCTATCATTCTTAGACAATATAATTTGGGATTCCTTCTCATCCAAATCTTTTATTCGAGTTATCAACTCATCTTATGTTCCTCCAATCTCTCAAAGTGATCCCTATTCCACTCTTTAATCTTAGTTCTTCATCTCTTCAGTTTTTTGTGGAATCTTACCCCCTTCCAGTTGACCACCCACATTTCCTCTCCCCACCACTCTTTCACCTTATTCACGAAATCTGGGTGGGTTAGCCACATATTTTCAAACCTAAAAGGTTTAGGTCTAGTGACAAAGGATTCGGGCCTAATTTGATTGGATAATGATCAAAGGTAACCCTAGGCAAAGCTCTAGAAATCAAGGATACCCAAGGCCTCTCCCAATCTGTGTTGAAGAGGAATCTATCCAATTTGGAATAGAGGAGATTCTTGGAAATTGGACCAAGTAAATTTATCATGCAGAAGTGGAATTTCCTTCAATTCACATTCTTCAATAAAGCCATTAAACTTTCTCATGCTGGTTGTGATTGTTCTATGAGGGCTGTTAGTCTCACACAACCATGGACCTTCAATTCACACCATGGACCATCCCAAAGCCCTTGGATTACATAAAGCTCCTACCACAACTCATTCCTTTCTCTATAAGAGTTATATCCATAAATGTTGGTTAGAACCCATACAAATCCATTCTCCACATTCTTGAACTTGATGGAGACTATAAACCTGCCTACCAGTTCCTCCATTGCTTCAATCTCTTCCTTCCAGAGTGTGACAATTCCCCCCGAAGCTCCCCAAGAGGGACTGAGGTCCATCCTACTCCCCTAGATCTCCAAAAGATCCTAACCCAACTTCTATCTAAATCCATTAGCTTGGTTTCTTGTAGTAGCATGATATCAGGTTTTTCCCTTTTGATTAGATCTTTGATCACTCTCCTCTTTCTTGCGCTTCCTAACTAATGGTTTTCATGGAGATAGTTTGAAACTAGGAACCCAACAGATTTTCCTCAACTTCCTTAGTTAAGGCCCCTCCTATCCCCCCTGCCACTAAACTCTAAATCTCCCTCTATTTCTGCCTCCAAAATATTTCTTCTCTCAAGAGGACATCTTCCAACTCCTTTACTTTCATTCTCACTTTACTCTCTTGCTAATTCATAGATCTTGGAGCCTCCTTTTCATCTAGTTCTTTAGTCTAGGGCAATAGAATGGCTTTTTGTTTTTCTAATCTCCCTAATTGGTCCCTATTCAACTCCTTTAATTTGGCTCTAAGTCTTTTCAATTTCTTATGAAATCTAACCCCTTCCATTTTCACCCCTTTCAATCTTCATTCCACTAGTCTTTGGTCTTATGCACGAAGTCCGGGTGTGTTAGCCACTAGGGTGAGTAAACAGTTTATTTGGTTAAAAACCAAACTGAATATACTGAACTTTTTAAAATCAAAATTTTAAATGAAAAACCGAACCAAAACCTAAATATTTGGTTCAGTTTTCGGTTATTTTGGTTAAAACCGAATTTCATCACTATATGTGTTTTAATATATCTTATAGATATTATATATGTATTATATTAAAAGTATGTATTATACAATATATATAATAAACTATACATTTTAATATATAATATAATGCAATATAATATATATTATACATATTATATATGTATCATATGTTAATATATATTATATAGATAATAAAGTTTGGTTAATTTGTTTTTTAAGTTAACCGAATTTCCAAACCTGAAAAGCAAAACTGAAATGAAATTTTATAAAACTGAAATAACCAAATCGACAAAATCGAAACCGAAATTTTTGGTTTGGTTTTTCAGTTTTAACTGAACAATGCTCACCCCTATTAGCCACATATTCTCAAATCTAAAGGGTCTTGGTCCATTTACAAAGGACTCATGGCCTAGTTTAATGGGACAGTGATCAGAAGTAACTCTAGATAGAGCTCTAGCCACTAAATCTGTCCAAGGGTTCTATTTCCCTTGCCAGAAATAGAAGCAAGCGAACCAACAACAATGAAACTTTATCCCTACTAAAACACAAAATATAAGAAAAGAATAGTTATGAAATACTAGTCATATGATTCGGAGCTTGAGTCTATTATCCAGGAAATACTCTCCTTACCTGTCATAGAGGCATGATTTGTAGTACTAGTACCTGTATGAGCATAGGTAGTTGTATGTCTCAGTCTCTCATAAGACTTGTAATTGTGGCTAATCCCCAATACTACCCTTGAGTTGACTAATATAGCAACTATACCTCTCTACCTCTACTCTGTCCATTGCAAGTGTCTTTGATGATGGTAATCATTGGAGAACGGAGAATAGGATGCACTGTATCAAATTGGGGTGTAGCTTCCAAGAAGTCTCCGTGGCATGTACAGGTTTCCTTGCAATGTTCACATACCAAGTCCTTATCTTCCTTCTTCCTATCTCCAATATGTTTTGGCCTACTAGATGCCATCGCTGTAGCATCTATCTAGGTGATCTCAACATTAAACTCTACTCTCCTCACTATGTGGATTAAGGAGTAGCGCTGTGCTATAGTCAAATCATGGCAAGTGAGAATATGATGCCTCGTAATCTGGATTGAGCCTGGATAGAAACTCAAGTACTCAATTCCTCCCAACCAGTGCATTGTGAGTCTTAGTGTCCTTATCACACCACTGGACAGTCTCCAAATGATCAATCTCCTACCAAAGAGCCAAAGAGCCTAGAGAGTAGAGAATATAATTCCAATGATGCATCTCCTTGCTTCTAGTTCTTTACTTGCATCTTTCACTGGTAAGCCCTAGCCACATCCAAGGGTTGAGAATAAGTAAAAGTGACTATATAACTGACATCCTTTGTAGTCTTCATTCACAAATAACTTCTAACATGTGGCTGCATAGAATTAATCAACATGGATATTGGTTAAGTTGTTAACCTATGATGTAACCCAACTTTCTAGGCTGTCCTATCCCAATCTTCATTGATTGAGCCCATTCCAGGAGTCTGTGCTTCATTGTAGTAATCACACCACTATTCTTTGTCCATGGTACATCTAATCAGGGTCCCACTCTTTGGGCTAGCCTTCTGATCACTACTAAATGCTTCCATGCCTTTTCAAGCATATGGAAAACACAACATACCCAGAATAAGCCACTCCTGGGATGAAACAATCCCCAAACAGTCTACTAGAGGCCCTTTCAGAGCAAAAAACATCAATCTGGGACCAGGAGAAACACAAGAACCTGCTGATCTCTATTTTAGGTCAAAAGAAGTTCAACTAGACCCAACTGCCCCAATAAAATAGGTCATATACCTGTATCACCAGTTTTGTCTCAGCCCCTGAAGGAGAAACTAGACATCAAGCAATTGATCACTCCAATCTCTCCAGAGAGGCTCTTTACTGTAATTGATTTCTCTATTATGGTGATCTACCTTGAATAAATGGCAAGCACTTGTCCCAGAAGGCAAGAGCAAAACTGAACCAAAAAATGCCTACCTCTTATGTTTCTTGTTTTAAGGCAACTCCCCAAGATCACTTCTTGGGCAGGAAACAACCCCAAAAACTCCAAGAACCAGACCACTAGATGGGATTGATCAGCCCTTTTTACACTCCCATTCAGTCAGCTGATCCTAGAACTGCATGGAGTTCACTTCAAGAGGACTAAAAAGTGCCCTAATACCAACTTGAAATGTAAAGTACTCTAACGCAGTGTAGAAAATTGGTATAGAACAAGATTTGGATTGATAAAGATGAAGAGAAAAGAAGAAATTTTGAAAGAGGCTAAAAAGTGAGCTGCCGCCTCTCACACTTCTATTTATAATAAATATATGTACACTGCCAAAAATCCCCCTGGATGGGCAAATATAAGTAAAAAGAGTAAACAGCATAGAAAGACCATATGGGGCATTACTCAGCAGCTATAAACAATAAAAAATGAAAAATGAAAAAACTAAAAAGAATAGTTATCAACATCTCACTCATCAAAAAAAAAAAAAAGTTATCAACATCTCAACACATGTTGCATGCTTTCTTCCTATTCGATATTTATCTCTGTGCTCAGTGCTGCTTTTTGGTTGCATAATGGTTACATGTTATTGAATTTGTGGATTATTTTATGTTAGGGCTCTGTCTTAGTTCAGCTTTTATGCTTCTCACAATTCCTAAATAAAAGAACTTTTATGGTAATTTGTCCATGATGAAAGAAAATATATCCTTCGTCAAATTTGTCCTTTTTTGTTGAGATATATTGGCTTTGTTCTATCATAATTTCATTTGACTCATTTTATTTAATTTCATTTTACCATCAGCGTGGGGGGAATCTTGCTATACCGGCAGATCGGTTCTTGTATGAATTAGCATTCAAGCTGTGGAAGGCCCCTAAATATGGAGCATGATGTTTCCTGAAGTTGGATTTCTTTAATTATTATTTTTTATTGTTTTATGCATCTTTAGTTTGGAGTTAAACCCACCAAAAACATGCGTTTGGAATTAAAAGGATTTCAAGCGGTTTGTTAATATTTGGGTTGTATTCTCAAACATGTAATTGCAAACCGTTTCACATCTCATGAAAAAAACTAATAAATATACTATTTTTACTTCATTTCAAAGTTATTGTGTATTGTCTATATCTTGAGTTATTCTCACATAGATCGTTGGGCCCTTCTAATCTTCATACCTGTATTAATTTTGGTTCTAGACTCGACCTATTTGGTTCATTTGATGCACTTTCATAATCAAGATAAATTAATTTTTTGTCATTTAAGTTTCCCTCGATAGCCTTTACACAAGCACGAGTGGTGCTTTTGGAAGTAGAAAGCAGAATGACAAGGAATTATCAGCTATAGGAAGTTGGAACAAAGGTTCAAAGTATTGGAAACATCAAGTGTATCAGAAAGGCAATTTTTAGAGACGTATCGGGATACGTCTTAGATACACATGTGTATCGGAAAAAAACTAAGATACACAAATATAGTTGGAAACACTATAAATATATTAATAAATCATAAAAATACATCAACAATACTAAATATAAGACCTGAATGAGGTGTATATATATTAAATTAATATATTTTAATCGTTTATTAAGAAATATATTGAAGTTAATTATAATTTCATTAAAAATCCTATGCTTAACTATAATTTATAAATTATAATTCCTAAGTTTTAATATTTTATAGGATGGGAGAAACCCAACTCTCCTATCCAACCATAAAACATGCATTGACACAATTTCTAAGTGAAAATATAATTAATAATTATTTATTATTTATTTCCAAAAAATATAAAAAATAAATAAACATTATATAATATATTCAAAAAATAGTTATTAAAGAAATTTCAATTGCTTTGTAGATATGATAGATCAACCATATAATTATAATATATTCAATCATTGTGACCAAATGATAAAATATAATTAATTAATTTTTAATTGTAAAAATATAAAAATAACAAAATAATTATTCAAGAAGAAATTTCAATTGGTCAATGGATATGATAGATCATCCATAGAATTATAATATATTCAATTATTGTGATCAAATGATAAAATATAATTAATTATTATTTATTTTTTAATTATAAAAATATAAAAAATAAAAAAAATACTAAAGAAGAAATTTCAATTGCTCTATGGATATGATAGATAAATCCATAGATATAAAACATATTTAGTCTTTATAGGCAAAGAAAAAAAATTACATTTTCAATTTTTTTGTTAATTTATATTTTCCCCAAATATTTTCATGAAATTTCCATAAATCTATTGATAACACAAAAAATTGTGATTTTGAATCTAAGAAATGTAGATCAACATAAATTTAAACATTCAAGAAAAAATTATAAGATATTATAAAAAATTGAAAAAATTTACCTAATTTTTCCATATTTTTTTTCAAAATTTGAAAAATCTTCAAAAAAAGCTAACAATTTGTACTTGTTTCTTGCAATTTTTTTTTGCAAAACTAGCACTCTAGGAATGGAGTTTGGATTTTTAGAGTCATTTGGGGGTAAAAAAAGGCTTATTTCAAGGAAAATAAGCTTGTTTTCTCCCTTTATTTTTTTTACAGTTTTGGCCGTATCATTTTTGTTGATATGCTATTGATACCGATATGCCTTGATACACCCCTAATACGCCTCGATATGCTCTCGATACTCATGAAAAAAGGTGAGACGCCCAATTTCCATGCATATCCTGTATCTGTTTTTCAAAGATACGATATGATATTCCCCGTATCAAGCATATCGTATCGAAATTTTAAACCTTGGTAGGAACCATTGCATGGATCTTATTTTTGATTGAGGATTCTTAGGTCATGTGTGGTTACTGCTTTGGGCTTCATTATTGAATTCATGCTTATTTTAGGCAAGAATGGGTTACTACAAAGTGTTTGGATAATTTCTGCTTTGGCCTCGTTCTTTGAATGAAGAATGGGCCATCAGAAAAAAAAAATAATAATAATAATAAGGGAAGCCCGTGGCACAAGTGTGCCTCAGAGAAATATTTTTTATGGAAAAGTACAGTGCACCACACTGCAGAATTCTGAATTCAACTGAAATTCTACACAATTCAAAATGACAAACACCCCCACCCTAAAACACCAATACCCGCCCGTGTATTGGCATCAATTCCGATTTGGCACCTACCCCAACTGTACTGTGGGGATAAGAATTCTTAGGGTGTGTTGAACAATCATTCTCCCTTTTTTTATTCTCATTTTTTAGGGTGTTATCTATCGGTTCTTGTGATAATGTTCTATCCGTTGGTATTTAAGCTTGCAACTACTGCCACCAAGGGTGTTCTTCAAAAATAAAAAAAATTATATATATACTATGATATGGAAAATCACATCGTATCGAAAATCCCTGGCAATGCCACGTATATTACCGGATTTACTTTAGTAACCAGTAACTAATTATCTTATATTATTATTATTATTAAAATTTAAAATACCCAAAACTAAGAAGCCGATTCATCCATTACTCACACTCATCTTCTTCCGGTCTCCTCTTCTAGCCAAACTTCTCATAGTCCTGTTTAAACTTCTCATAGTCAATCAACAATGAATATCAAACTTAATCATCTCTCTTACTCCACAGGTATTTCTTCTTCTTCTTCAACTTGCAGTTATTTCCTCTTCCTACTCATATATTCTACCACCGACCACCGGTTGTTGATTCCATCTCCCTTCTCTTATTTTCTACCTCCCAAACAACTAATTACCGCCAACAGATGATTCCATCTCCTCATTTCTGATAGATTTTTTTTCGTGGACGCAATAAGCTCACCAAAGTCTTTGATTGCTGTTGCACGCCTCCATTGGCTTGGTTTTCTTGCCACAACATCAGAACCCAAGGTGATATAAAGAAGGTAAGTACCTTCCCTACTTTTGATTTGAATCTGCAGCTGTTGCTTTGGTTCGTACATATAGCCATAGGTGACTGAAATTGTATTTTTGTTTTTCCTTATACATTTAAGATTATTAGTGTGTTTTGGATCTACATGTTTGTGAACAGTTTCACTTCTTCCTGACTCAACTTTTTCATTCGAGAATGGACTTAGAATTGAATCTGGAACTGATTGAACCTGTTTAGTTTATGCATGGCTCCAAGAATGGTATGCATCAATCATTAATACCCATAAAACTGTATTTTATTCCTTTCCTAAACTAATTCCAGATCTTAAAGAAAATCTTTGATCTCCTATTACCTAACCAAAACTGCAACACAGTATAGTGGAATTTCCCAGTTAAAAGGCAAACTTTAGCCGTTATTAATTTTATATATGTATTTCTCTCGAAGTAGAAAGTACTTAAATTCTTTGTAAGTTTGAGTTTGGATCAAAAGTAAAAAGTCCTTTTTTTTTTTGCTGGAAAGTTACTTTTTAAAATTTGGCTCTACTATAGATAAGTTCCTTTAATCAATTAAATAACTGAAAACTAAGAAGTTACTAGAGTATTTTTAAATTTCAAAATAAATAGTAGGTGATCCAATTGGCCATTTCCTGACAGTTAGTAGGAAGTTGGTGGTGTTAGACAGTTTTGTATGCCCTTAGCTTCAATCATTTTGATGTACTTTTGTTATTTAGTGGAAATAAATAAAGTGCATGTTTGATTCATGTTGTTTGGTTTAATTCTGTGTAAAACCCTAAA